CCTAATTTTAATTATTTGTACTCATGTGTATCAACTTACAGGGAAGTACTTAAATACATTAAGTACCATCATACAATTTGTGGTAGATTGAGAGCCGTGGTGACTCAGTGAGTGAGATTTTGGATCTCTAACCTTGTTGTCCGGTGTTTGATCCCGGCGTAAGTCAAGAAAGTTCATCGGGATTTTCCGGCATGTGTTTCTCCCTTGTCAGTGGTGCAGGGCTGAGGTCCTGGCACGGTACAGCCTATAGTCGTTCGGATTGGAACGAAAAACTGAGGTTCCATGTACCGCTTGCGTGCACGTAAAAGAACCCTTGAAAGTTTGAATTTAATATAAGAGTAAGCCATAGCGCCGCTATCCAGGCAATAAAGACCAATCCCTAAGCTAACACCTTTATAGACTATAGTGTTTATCTTGGACATCAAGTCACTCATACATTTCAACTGTGCAATTTCTAAAATAAGTTACACAACCTCACTGGGTACATCTATCAATGATTTCATCTCAAACTTTCAAGCATGGTATCTGGGAAACTTGCTAACAAGCATTTGTATATTTAAACAAAGGATTGTGGGTTAGGGTAAGGCTTAGAGCTAGGTATTGGGTTAGGGTTAGTGCTAGCGCTTACCCTGTTTGCATCTCGTGACCTTGAGGGAAATCTGCAGGTTGCCTTCGTCAATGCATCTGACCATTAGGCCACCCCAACCTAACTTATATAAACTGGCGTGGTTTCGTATCCCCGGTTGTACGTGACAAGGAGTAGGGTCGCCTGTCCAACCTCCTGGGTTTTCGCCGGGTCCCCCGGTTTCCTCCCACTGCTAACGACTCCTACGCGCAAGCGAATTATCAAAATTAAAAAAATTAAACCATATGTTAGTCCCGAAATGACCTGGTTTGTGTCGAGTGGACGTTAAACCCCATTTCTCTCTCTCTCTCTCTCTCTCTCTCTCTCTCTCTCCAACTTATATAAACAGCTAGCACGTTTCATTGGAATTGTAAAATTATGACAAGGCTTAATTCACACCTATTAGTTAAAGGTACATTATGTAAGAAGATTTAAGTCTACATGTTACAGGCATTTTCCCAATCTGATTAAAATACAGATCTATATTTCGTTTCGTTTTTTATACTTTCGGTAGCCTACACTACATGAAGATCTGACCGGTTGTAGCGATAGGTCGCGTCAGAGGTCATACGAGCAGGTTTTGACCCTATGACGTCAGACATTTGATTAACCAATCAGCATTAATGTCACAAGTGGATTACCCACCCTTCCGTGCAAAACACGCCTAAAGCTTGCCGTAACAGACCGTTTCATTGGCTAATTTCTCACACCATTCAGAACACGTCAATGATAACACCTCTTCAAGATCCTTGTGTAGTAAAGACAAGTAAAATGAAATTTTGAACTATAAAAAACGAAACGAAATAGGATCTATGTTTTAATCAGACTGGCATTTCCTTTGGGCTCAAATGTTATATAAATTATTAATTAGACAATTAGTTACATGGCGAACCCCAAGTCAGGTCTCTAGACCATCGGAGGCTTGTGATTTTAATGGATTGAATCACAATCCCCATTATATGTTTTAATTTAGAAATGGATAATCAAGACTTTACTTGTTGTCATAGCAATTATAGCAATGGTAACCGAGACTACACTATTCTGATCAACATTCATAACTTCGTTGGAATAATGTTCTTTGAATGACATTTTCAATATTTTTCTTTTTCAGTATCTTTTTTACAATTATTATACCGAGAACTAACAGCTTTTTATCTAAATCTTGCATACAGCACCTTTAAAATATTTTTTGATAGTACATAAATATTTAATATACTATTGACCTTCTATTCCGGATACTCATATCAGTTGTGCTGTGGTTTTTAAAGCGAGCGGGCACTATCTATATGTTGAGAGGTATGCTAAGTATATAAATATTTCATAATATGGCAAGATATGGGACAATATTATGATTATACTTATTTGTTTTGGGCAAAAATGAAATTGGTCATTTCAGTGGATTTTATATGGATTTTCGGGCAATCCTACTTTTCCGAAATCTAATAGCATACTAATTTCACTTTTCTTTTAATTGCATACCACGAATTTGTACTGAATAATTGATTATGGATTAAAACATTTTGTCTGGAGCCACTCTACTTTGTGCGACATTTTTCGGGCATCGATTATTATTTGTGAATGCAGCTGCAACAGTCTGATTGGATGTTTGGAATTCAGGTAGGAATATAGTGGGATTTGCTTTGAAGTTGCTTAATTCACGGGCTAGAAAAGCAGAAAAACGCATTTGAGGTTAAATTTTCACAATTTTCTCTGGGAGCGCGAGGCCCCCATACCCCGGGACGATTGGTTGGTTGTCCGGGATTTGTGATGCAGTTAAATCACGGGCTTGAATAGCAGGAAAACGCGTTTGCAGCAGTAAAACCTTCAAACATTCATCGAGTTAGTACGCCTATGCATCATTAGACCATTTTATGTATAAATTTAGATTTATCTTGGAAAGACGACACCGGTGAAACGTGAAACCCCCTTTATAAAAGGCTTCTGGTTATCAAAACATTTAAAAGTCACGTCATTGCCAAAATGATTTAATGAATTACACCAAAAATATAATTATCGTTGATTTTATACGTATCGCCCCCTTTAAATTATATATTATTATTGGCATACTTATTCAACAGGGAAGTTACTCAAATATATGTGACGGCGTCAAGGAACATACAAGGTCTGACTATTGCTTTTATTAGCGCAAACTAGTGAGGTGTTACATCAAAATAGATGTTAATACAACCGTAATAATGCTAGCTTCCCACTATCACGATTCGCCCGAAATTTTCATTTGGGAGCGGGGCTAGGGGCGATGCTGGGAGCGGGTCTGTGGGGCTACATGGGAATCTCCACAACTTCGCCTCTGGCTGACGACCGGCCGACGTTAAACGACTTTCCATTATTCAATTAACTAACAGTTAAATAAACCTTTCGCTATAAGTAGAAGGTATAACAAAAACTTCTCTCCTAATAGTAAGTGCTGTTGGACCGCTAGAAATGATTCCACTAATGATATCTTCCGTCTTACTCCAGCCACAGTAGTGGATCGTTCTAAAATTACTGGCCTATAAAGTGACCCCAAACTGTACTGCACATAGCTTAACATATAATAAACCAATTCCCATTAAAATAAATGAGAAGCCTTACCGTATAATTGTATGATCAGATGAAATTCAACTGCTATACGAAATTATTCTCCTATTCAACTTAAAATGTCCGCCCAGCCAGAACGTCTCTTTCCATATATGGCTCTAATAGTACAAAAACGCAGTAACACTGCCTTATAAGCGACTCGATGGGCGGGATTAAGGCCTTTTATATTTGGCGAGATTTCACCTGGGTGGTGTCATGGCGGCTTGTACATTGCAAGAAATATCGCTGGGAAACAATTTTAGTGGTCCAGTCTTCACTATTTGTGATAGAATTACTTATTTCAATACAAACTGTAATGCTATGTGTTGACAATTGTACATTGAACCTATTTGTACTTGCGTAAGGAGTTTTAGTCTGTATCAATTGTAACGTTAAACACAGATTAGCGCGAAATATTGTAGCTAGGGCACCCCACGCAGACAACCCCTGTAAGTTTCTCCAGACAAACAGCACAGGCTTCACTCTAAATGAAAAACAAATAAAAGATAGCCATGCATTGACAGCATGGGTGTTGATCCAATTTGATAAGGGGATCCATCAATGAATCTGATTCTCTACGTTGTTCAGAAGCTTGGAAAATCCTTACAAAACATTAGCCTCTATCACGTTTAAAGGATTTCGGCGAAAAGGGGTGGGGTAACTCCGAATAGAAGGTCGCAGACCACTGAATATTTAGAGCGTTCCTCATCTCATGACCATAATTTGCACACCAGATTTGATCCAAACCTATTAAAGACTTCGCCCTCTATTATGTTCACAAGGTTTTTGGAAAATATAGCGTAATTTTGGAACGCTGTATATCAATAGGGTTCGTCCTCTCAGGACCCAAATTCTTTACACCGAATTCGAAAAATCAGTTACAAACTGATGTTCAACGACCTGACCGGTGCAGTCATGTTGTATGTTAAACCCCTTTTTATTTCATTTAATCTGTAGCATCCGTCTCAAAATAAATATTTTTTTCTTCAGGGAACTGTTTTGATGGTAGATCCATTCAAGATGTTGGCTGTTGTTATCCTTGCTCTTTGTTTTCCATCTGTGGCAGGTCAGGATGCGTGCTCAACCGGATTATGCCAGTGCACAGATCAGATTGCTCAGTGTTATAATAAGAACCTTACCTACATTCCAAAATTTCCCAGAAACATCATAGTAGTATACTTAAAATATAACCATCTATCTTATATAGGTCCAACTACAGTTTTAAACATTAGCAACACAAGAATATCAAGCCTACATCTACACCATAATGAAATTCGGTATATTGACAAAAATGTGTTTCAAAATCTGTCACAGGTTCGCTTATTGGATTTAACCGATAATCTACTCACCTCAGGTTTGTTGCGGAATTTATTCTCTAGTTTTCAGAGAAATAGCAAACTCTCCAAGATATCTCTCAGTAGGAATCTTTTAGAAAATATCCCACCTGATACTTTTGTTAACTTTAAATCCACGGAAAGGATAACCTTGGATTTATCTCTGAATAGTATCAAACTACTTAATATGACATCATTTAACGCAATAGAAAAATTGCAAAAATTGGACGTTTCGAATAACAAAATATCTACGGTCATCCCAGGTGTTGGCCACCATCTGCAACACCTCTCTATTTCTAATAATAATTTGGCTGCTTTACCAAACTTTTGTCTTCGACAATACTCCTTTCCAGATTTAACAATATTGCAACTAGAAAACAACAAGATTCGTAATTTCGTTCCGGAATATTTAAACTGCTTGGAAAAGCTAACAGACTTGGATGTGAGTTCAAACTACATTGACTCATTAAAAACAGATTATTTTCATTCTTTCAAGTCTCTTAGCTCGTTGTCTATCACAGAACAGAGTAGAGCATTTTATATACAGGAACGTGCCTTCAACAACAGCAAACTGCTAGTTTTAGACCTGGCAAAGAACACATTCACTACTAAACGTCTACATGAACATGCATTTTGTGGGCTGGATCGGTTAGTAAAACTAGATCTGTCTAAAAGTAATTTCTTTAAAATGGAGGAAAAACTAAGTAAAACGTTAACCCCTCTGAAATCTCTTGACGTATTGATGCTGTTAGATTGTAATTTACAGGAAATACCTTCTGTTATCAGATACTACCATAATCTCACGTATTTAGATGTTGGCTGGAATCTGATTAAATCCTGGCCAGCTAAGATCTTTCAAAGGAACATTAAATTGACGGAATTGAATGCAGGTCATAATTTAATTCAGACTGTTACAAGTAAAATGCTGCCTGAAGTGTTGAGGACAAAATTGAAAAAAATATCTTTAAATGATAACCCGTTCGTATGTAAGTGTGGATTGGTTTGGTTAATTCGATGGATTCATAGGGAACCACACAAGTTTTGGGGTTATCCTGACGGCTATAGATGTCTGAATATAACAGAGAGAATTTGTCTGAATAACACTGGAGCGTTCATCTCTGTGACAACAGTAACATGTTTTTTTATCTGTGTCATTTTTATCGCTTCTGTTATCAACAAATATATCTGGCATATAAAATACCATATTTATATGTGGAGATACAGACCTAGACAGCTGTTGGATATTGCAGAGAAACACTTTGTTCATGACGCCCTTGTTGCTTACTGTGTAGAAGATGGAGACTGGGTTTTACATGATCTTCTACCTATCGTGGAAGAAGGTGAAAACATTACGTTATGTATCCACGAAAGGGATTTTCTTGGTGGAAAACTGATCATTGATAATATCGTGCAGCACATGGAAAGCAGTCGTAAAGTTCTTGTTGTTTTGTCCAATGATTTTGCTAGAAGTAAATGGTGTCAATTCGAAATGAGTTTAGCTCAGAAATTGGTTATAGATAGGAGTATAGAGTCTGTAGTAGTAGTATTATTAGAGGATATAGAAGCAGTTAATATGAGTAAATCACTGAACGCTCTATTGAAAACTACTACTTATATCAAATGGCAAGATAATGAGAACAAAAATATATTTTGGCAAATGGTAAAAACATCACTGAAACGTCAATATGAATTATAATAAGATTAAAGTATATCGATCTGTTTACCGTAGTGGTTTCATGGTCCGTTGTTCAATCGCTACAAGAACTCCGCCTAACCCAATCTGAGACTGTATCCATTCCACATGTTCGAATACAGAAATGGAATATCACTTGTTGACTGAATTTGTACTCTACGAATATGTTTACTAGAAGTGTAAGTTCGAGCAATCTGACCTCCTCCTGTAGATATATCAATCTTTTGATGGGCCTCTTGTTAATCTGCTGAAATCCAAACAGGTAGATAATCTATTGTTGATATTGTCATAGTATTGTCTGAATTAAACAGACATTATGCAAGAGCTAAATCTGCTTTTTGTAATCCTTTCTTTAGACATGAAATGTGATATAACTTACCAAAACCATAATCAACTCTCGATTTTATCGGATGTCTGCGATATAAGTAGATTTAAATACGTTTTGTGGTCGATGCGGTTACTGTAACAATAGATAATGTTTATTATTGTAACAACGGTAGTAATGACAATAGTGGCTTTATTTGTATTGCCGATATCTAGGCTAGGAGTGAAATAATCTGAATGAAATTGTCAGTATATTCTCTTTTCATTATCTATATTTTAACTATTTTAGCAGTTTGAGAACATCGTAGCGTTATATTGTGAAAAATGTAAATGACAGACACAATGTATGTATGATATAGTGTGGCAAACCTAGTTTCATTTTGTTAGTATTGTTTTATTTATAGTCTGTATAAATAGTCGAGACAAATAACATATATAATTAGATTTAAGTCACTGTAGTTATATATTATAGTGAGGGACTATATTTTATAATATGTTAACCTTATGAATACGGATCAAGCTCACCAATTATTTCTACGCCGTCATCCAGTTTGTGTATCTCAATCTCAAGTTTGTCATGGGCAGGAGGTTGCCACATGTTGCTCCAACGAAAATTTAGGGGAAAAAAGCAAGGCCTCAGAGGAGAGAATTAACATGGGGAAATCATTGGTGATCTGTGGTCATATTATTTGTATTATTATCTCCCTTTACTTAACTAGCTGAATTTAAATGTCTAGAATGCGATTATAATTTATATGCATATCCTACGACATATTTAACGTAACTAACATGCATTTTTGTATGTCAACTGTTAAATAATGTTGAATTAATATTGTTTACAATGCAAACTTTGTTTGCTTACAGTACATATAGTTTATAATTTTGCATGACCCGGGAACGAAAACTCAAATACATTGCCATCGTGTCGCTTCAGCCTGGGTCAGTTGTTCCCACTGTGATATCCGTCTCCAGGGCATCCTTGGTTTCCTCAGTGGTCTCATTCCGTTCTATACACTGGGATAATCGTTAGGGTCTCCACATTTCAAGTTATCGGCCCTGGTCTTGAGTCTACAAACCAAGCCAAAAAACAGACAGTTTACAAACCAGTCTTACTAATGAAACGGACTTCGTTTCGCGTTCGTTATTTATAAGGGTAGATAAACCTATTCATGTCCATTTACTGAATGATTTATGTAAATAATGTATATATTTATAATTCATATATATTTTAATGTAATATCAAAATCTGTAGTATGTTTCGCCCATTTCAAACATGTATAAAATGTATGTGTTTTACTTTATTATAATTATTACTATTCGTTCTTTATCTGAAATTTTTCTAAACTATTTCCATTGTGTTATGTTTGTTATTATTGAACATATAGTTGGTAATTTAGCGTGTGTTGTGTGGTAGTGTTTTACCTATGTAATTTGTGCAGATCAATCGCTGAAGGTACTCTGGCCGATACCAGATTGTGAAGGATTGATTATTGATATTACGAAACCGCCAAATCAAGACACCATTCTCAATACAACTCTTCAAACTATATTATGTAAATATCTGTCTGGTCTACATTTACATATAATATAAATATTGTAATTTGACGTAAATAAATACACATTTAGCATAATTTGACCTTCTATTGTTTTTTGCTTGGGGATATTTGAGGAGAATTAGACTACCTGCTGGCTAATGTTTAACCTTGTCTCTTGAAGGGGAGTCTTTGCGTTTTGCTTTTTGACCCGATGAGAGTTACTTCCCTTTGTCAACTTCCTTTGTAATTAACGATTTATGTGATTGGTTGATAAATATAGCACAATTATCAACGGCCGATAACTTGAATACGTTCCACTCCACCCTCCCCCGCCCCCATGGATTAACCCAGGGGTTTGAGGGGTAGAACGGAATGAGACCACTGAGGATACCGAGGATGATAACTGGGGTGGTTTGAGTAGAATCGTTTCTAATTAAACACAATGCATCTGTTTGGGTAGTTATACATGACTGGCTTTTACTTTATTGGGTAAGTTGTACTTGGCTGGGTTTTAGTATGTTGTATAGTTGTTGGGTTTTAGTATATTGGGTAGTTGTACTTGACTGGATTTTAGTATATTGGGTAGTTGTGTCTGGCTGGGTTTTAGTTTATTGGGTAGTTGTATTTGGCTGAGATTTGTTCATTCGGTTGTGTACTTGACTGGGATCTTTACCCCTTTTGTAGGTTTCTTAGTGTTCATTTGACTATAGTGATTATATTGTAGCAATGAAATAAATATATTTCGTTTTGTTTTTTTCTAAAATTCAAATTTCGTTTTACTGGTCTTTACTACATTATAGATCAGTATTTTGATTAGACAGGCCAGTGATTTTCCTGTAGGCTTCTAGCTTATTATAATGGGTGTGGTAGACATGTTAGGGCTCCCTATGGATTGTGAGGCACTTAGTTGTAGATTTTCCTACGGCTGTCTAGTCGTTTTGATTGGACGAAAAACAGAGGCCCCGTCAACACATTGACGTGCACGTAAACGATATAAGTGTACCCCCTCCCCCATCCCACACACCCCAAAACGGCCGCAAACGTGATAGTGGAAACCTAGCATTAAGACGACTGTATTAACATCTTCTATTTCTATGTAACGCCTCACTGGTCTGTACGAATAAAATAAACAGTTAAACCTTTTATGTTCTTTAACCTCGTCAAAGAGATATGTGAATAAGGTCCTTGTTGAATAAGTATGTCAATAATAATATATAATATAAAGAATACGGTATGTGAAATTATATACGTATGTATAACATCAACGATAAATATATGGTTGGTGTAATTCATTATTTATACATTTGGAACATGACGTTACTTTTAATTTTCGATAACCAGAAGTCTTTTATGAAGGTTGTTTCATGTTTCAGCGGTGACCTCTTACCAAGATAAATCTAGAAATATCAGATAAATTTATACCAATAGGCGTACGAGCTCAATGAATTTTTGAAAATTTAACTGCCGCAAACGCTTTTCCTGCCATACCAGCCCGTGAATACAGTAACTTCAACGTGGTTCAATATAGCCTACCTTAGGTGACTTACCTGCATCCCAAATCCCAAACAACCCTTATCAAATAGGGTATGGGGGCCCCGAGAACATTTAACCGCAAATGCGTTTTTCTGCTAATCTATCCCGTGAATTAAGCAACTTGAAAGTTTGCAACCGAAATCCCACCCTATGTCGATCCGACTTCCACCCATCCAATCAGACGGTTGCAGCTGCATTTACAAATAATAATCGATGCCCGAAAATGTCATTCGCGAAGTTTTAAGGAGAAATCAGCAGGATGTGAATCACCAATATGTATGAATTTCAACTTCCCTAGTTTTGATTATTTGTAAAGGCTTGTAACTTATAATGTATAACGATGTACACGGAAGAATTTTAATACATTTATCGGGGGCTGTGGTGACTCAGTAAGTGAGACGTTGGATCTCTAACCTTGTGGTTCAGTGTTCGATCCCGGTGTGAGCAGAGAAAGTTCATCGGGGATTTCCGGCGTATTTCTCCCTTGCCAGTGGTGCAGGGCCGGGGTCCTGGCAAGGGACAGTGCATGGTCGTTCGGATTGGAATGAAAGACCGAGGTTCCATGTCTTGAAAGTTTGAATTCAATATAAGAGAAGCCCATAGTGCCACAGTCCAGGTAAATAGGACCAATCCCCAATAAGCTTACATATTTACATATAGACTATAGTGTTTATCTTTGACATCAAGTCATTCATACACTTTGATTGTGCAATTTCTAATATAAGCACCTCCTCACTGCGTACATCTATCAATGATTTCATCTCAAACTTTCAACCATTCTATTTGGGAAATTTGTATATTTAAAAAACAAACTCGTTTTAAAGGAATAAACTTTTAAATCTGGGAATGTATCGTTAAACCCTGGCGACATAGCTGCTGCATGGTAGTCAAGCTTCGTTCTCTGCCAACCCATGTTTTCGATGTAAGATGAATATATAGCTGTCATCAGTATCTAGATTATATAAATGTTTAACGTCCGCTTCCACCGAGGGTAAAATCGTAGAATTTCCTTATTTTATTATGCTTAGTGTATGTCCATGGGTCTTGCCTGTCGGTGCGTGGCGGGGGTGGGGCGTCAGAATAACGATGGCGCAGGTATCTTTGGTGTAGTAAGAAACCAGAGTACCCGTACTAAATCCATATGTTCACACCAGGGATCGTAACCACGACCGGAAACTAGACATTAATTTAAACTTCCCTAGTTTCGATTATTTATAAAGGTTCAGTGATTCATATATTGCTGTTTAAAATGACACATCATGTCTTTAAAGATTGCAGGCATTTATATTTAAGAATTAACGCTGCATATTACAGGCCTTTCTTTTAGGCTCAAATGTTATATAAATTATTAATGAGACATTTATTCACATGACGAACTCTCTTGACCATCGGATGATTGTGATTTTAATGAACTGAAACACAATCGAAATGGATAATCGAGGCTTTACGTGTTGTAAAAGCAATGATAGCAATGGTAACCGTCACTACACTTTCAATATATACCGTTTTCCTTATCTATTTTAAAATCGGTATATCCGAGAAGAATCAACTCTTTATGTAAATCTTACATACTGCATCTTTAAAGTATTTTTTTTATATTTTCTGTTGATCTTCTATTCCGGTTACTCATATCAGTTGTGTTGTAGTTGTGTTAGCAAACGGACAACTGTTCGATCTCTATGTGTAGAGGTAAGCTTAGTGCATATCAATCATCTATTTTAAAATCAGTATACCGAGAAGAGTCAACTATTTATCTAAATCTTGCATACTTTATCTTTAAAGTATTTGTTTTTTATATACTGTTATCTTCTATTCCAGTTACTCATATCAGTCGTGTTGTAATCTAAACTCTTGTATCTTAATCTTACATACCGCATCTTTAAAATTTAAAATATTTTGTTTAATATACCGGTGATCGTCTATTCCGGTTACTCATATCAGTTATGTTGTAGTTGTGTAAGCGAACGGGCACTTGTTATATCTATATGTTGAAAGGTAAGCTAAGTATATACATATCTCATAATATGGCAAGATATGGGACAAATAATAGGATTTCGGCAAGAGTAAAATTGATTATTTCATTGGATTTTATATGTTGAGTTGATATTTTTGTCGAATGGGTGGGAAAGAGAGAGAAATGGGGTTTAACGTTCATTCGACACAAACTAGGTCAAATTTATTTCAATAAACGTGTCACCGACAAGCGGGAAATCGAAACCACCTGACGTGACTCAACCACAGACCCGTTAACCATTCGGTCACTCAACCCCTCTTTTGTGAGATGTAAATATAAATGATATTACAAACAAACTACAACTTGGTTCAATTGTACATTATACCCCTGTGTTAACTAACTTAACTTTGGAAAGGTGATACGATAAAAGTATCTTTAATTGTTATAGTGATACAGTGCACGTAAAATATCCCCTTGTAGATATAGCTCGATGAAGGGTAACCGAGAACACAACAGTAAAATTCTTCTACACTCATTTCACGTGAAACCATAGAAACAGAATAAGTGTATGTTAGTCTCAAATTAGCCTAGTGGGAGCAGAGCAGTAGGTCGTTAAACCTCATTTAATTTTAAAGAACCGACGAGACGTGTAACCTTTTTCCATTATTCAGATGACAATCAGTTAAAAAGATATTATTCAAGGGCTAAATCTGCCTATTGTAGGTCTTTCTTTATGCCTTAAATGTTATATAAATTATTAATTAGACATTTATTAACATGGCAAGACCATATAAAGTTATATAATTTATTAATTAGACATTATTAGCTAACCAAGACCAAAATTAACCCTCGATGCTATCGGATACTCGAGAATTTCAACAGATTTAAATTCGACTTACAGTTAATAATTTAATTTAAAAATGGATAATCGAGACTTTGTATATTACCGTAACAACTGTATGTAGCAATGACAATCGTGTCTACACTGTTTTTCTAACGCCAATAACTCGGCTCAGAAAAAAAGTGATTTGAAAGCGGGGGATTATTAAAATGGGTTCGTCCGTCTGTATGTTTGTCCGCCCATCCGTCACACATTTTGGGACACAATAACCCCCTTAGAATGTTCAAACTTGGTGTAGGTGTTTATTGGGTCAATGCCTTGATCGAATTCGAAGATGGGCATTTTCTGCTTAGGGTAAGCAGAGATAAACAATTTGATTCGTTGATGCTTTGGGACACGATAACTTTAGTCCTAATTCAGTGAGGACACTTGGTGTATAGTTTTATTACATCAACACCTTGACTAAGTTCGATACTGAACCTTTTCTGCTGAGGTTAAGCGGAGCGACAAACAATTTGATTAGTTGAGACTTTTGAACAAAATAACCTCTAATTGAGGTAGAATGTTCAAACTTGGCGTGGGCGTCCATTAGGTGAATGCCTTGATGGGGTTCGATGATGAACATTGTCTGCTTAGGGTAAGCAGAGATAAGCATTCTGATTGGTTGATGCTTTATGGCACGATATAATGAAGTGAGAGCGATAAAACTCTGAATATAGATTCATTATATCATTACCTTGACTAAGTTCGATCGTGAGAATTGTCTGCTTAGGCTAAGGAGCGATAAGCAATTTAATTGATTGATCAAGTCCTAACAACTCTACTATTAATTGAAGTAGAATGTTTAAACTTGATGGAGATGTTCATTTGGTGAATGTCTTCACTGTTTTCAATGATTAATAATTCGAGCTAAAGGTAAGGAGAGCTAAGCAATTTCATTGGTGGATTCTTTGGGACACGATAACTTTGATTCTATCTGATAGAGAGTGGTGAAACTTAGTGTATAGTTGATAATCAGTTTGATTGCTCAATGCTTTTGAAAATAAAATAACCGATTATTTAATACGTGTCATCTATTTATTTTGGCATTTCAGCGGGGGACATCAGCCTTACTCCTGGCTTTTTAACTAGTATAGTAATAACTGCGAGTCTGTATCTCAAATTTACAACAAGGGTGCTTATCACATTTTATAAGGGGTCCTTCGGGGAACCTGGTCGCCATCGTGTTCCCAAACTTGAAAATCAAATAAAAACGATAGCCTCTATCAAGGGGTTTAGGGGGTAAAAGAGGTAACACCGAAACAGAAGGTTGCAGACCACTGAATCTTTAGAGCAATTGTCGTCCTATGACCATCATTTTTACACCGCATATGAACCAACCCAATCAAGGCACATTTAGCATGTTCACAAAGTTTTTGGAAAAGGAACCGGCAAAAATCCATTACAAACTGATGTTCAACGACCTGACTGGTGCAGACATGTAGGGCGTTAAACCCCATTGTATTTCATTTTATCTGTATCATCCGTCTCAAAATAAATATTCTTTTCTTCAGGGAACTGTTTTGATGGTAGATCCATGTACGATGTTGGCTGTTGTTATCTTCGCTGTTTCTTTGCCATTTATGACAGGTCAGGATGCGTGTTCAACCGGATTGTGCCGGTGCACACATCGTAATGCTCGCTGTTATAATACAAACCTTACCTACATTCCAAAATTTCCCGATAACATCACAGCCATCTACATGAAATATAATTATTTACCTTATATAGATCCAACTACAGTTTTAAACATTAGCAACACAAGAATATCAACCGTAAATCTACAACATAATGACATTAAGTATATTGACGAAAACGTGTTTCAAAATCTATCGCAGGTTTACTTCTTGGATTTAAGCGATAATCTACTCACTTCAGACTCGCTGCGGAACTTATTCTCTAGTTTTCAGAGAACTAGCAGACTCTCCAAGATATTTCTCAGTAGAAATCGCTTAGAAGATATTCCACATAATGTTTTTGTTGACTTTAAATCATCCGCGAAAAGGATAACCTTGGATTTATCTCTGAATAGTATCAAACTACTTAATTTGACATCATTTAACGCTATAGAAAAATTGCAAAAATTGGATGTTTCGCAGAACAAAATATCTAACGTCATCCCGGGTGTTAGCCACCATCTGCAACACCTCTCTATTCTTAATAATAGTTTGGCTGCTTTACCAAACTTTTGCCTTCGACGAAACGCCTTTCCAGAGTTAACAACACTGCAACTAGGAGGCAACAAGATTGGTCATTTCGTTTTGGAATATTTAAACTGCTCGAAAAAGCTAAAACACCTCTCTATTTCTAATAACAGTTTGGCTGCTTTACCAAACATTTGTTATCGTCGAAACTCCTTTCCCGAGTTAACAACATTGCATCTAGACATCAACAAGTTTCGGAGTTTTGTTCCGGAATATTTAAACTGTTTGGAAAAGCTAAAAATCTTGGATGTGAGTTTTAACTTCATTGACTCATTAAAAACAGATTATTTTCATTCTTTCAAGTCTCTTAGATCGTTGTCTATCGCAGAACAGAGTAGAACATTTTATATACAGGAACGTGCTTTCAACAACAGCAACCTGCTAACTCTAGACATATCAAAGAACACAATGACTACGAAACGTCTACATGAACATGCATTTTGTGGGCTGGATCGGTTAGTAAAACTAGATCTGTCTAAAAGTAATTTCTTTAAAATGGAGGAAAAACTAAGTAAAACGTTAACCCCTCTGAAATCTCTTGACGTATTGATGCTGTTAGATTGTAATTTACAGGAAATACCTTCTGTTATCAGATACTACCATAATCTCACGTATTTAGATGTTGGCTGGAATCTGATTAAATCCTGGCCAGCTAAGATCTTTCAAAGGAACATTAAATTGACGGAATTGAATGCAGGTCATAATTTAATTCAGACTGTTACAAGTAAAATGCTGCCTGAAGTGTTGAGGACAAAATTGAAAAAAATATCTTTAAATGATAACCCGTTCGTATGTAAGTGTGGATTGGTTTGGTTAATTCGATGGATTCATAGGGAACCACACAAGTTTTGGGGTTATCCGAACGGCTATAGATGTCTGAATATAACAGAGAGAATTTGTCTGAATTACACCGGAGCGTTTATCTCTGTGACAACAGTAACATGTTTTTTTATCTGTGTCATTTTCATCGCTTCTGTTATCAACAAATATATTTGGCATATTAAATACCATATTTATATGTGGAGATACAGACCGCAACATCTGTTGGATATTGCAGAGAAACACTTTGCTCATGACGTCTTTCTTGTCTATTGTGCAGAAGACGGAGACTGGGTTTTACACGATCTTCTACCTATCGTGGAAGAAGGTGAACACATTAAGTTGTGTATCCACGAAAGAGATTTTCTTGGTGGACAAATGATCATTGATAATATTGTACAACACATGGAAAACAGTCGTAAAGTTCTTGCTGTTTTGTCCAACGATTCTGCTAGAAGTAAATGGTGTCAATTTGAAATGAGTTTAGCTCAGAAATTGGTTATAGATAGGAGTATAGAGTCTATAGTAGTAGTATTATTAGAGGATATAAAAGCAGTTAATATGAGTAAATCACTGAACGCTCTATTGGAAACTACTACTTATATCAAATGGCAAGATAATGACAATAAAGATATATTTTGGCAAATGGTAAAAACATCACTGAAACGTCAATATGAATTATAATAAGATTAAAGTACATGGATCTGTTGACCGTAGTTATTTCATGGTCCGTAGTCCAATCTCCACAAGAACCCAGCCCCACCCAATCTGAGACTGCATCCATTCCTCATGTTGGAATATAGAAATGGAATATCACTTGTTAACTGATTTTATACACTACGGTTTGATATTTTTACTATATAAAAGTTTAAGTTCGAGCAATCTGACATCCTCCTGTCGACAATATCAATCTCTTGATGGGCCTCTTGTTAATCTGTTGAAATCCAACCAGGTAGATAATCTACTGTTGATATTGTCATAGTATTTTCTGAATTAAACAGACGTTATGCAAGAGCTAAATCTGCTTGATGTAGGCCTTTCTTTAGACATGAAATTTTATATAACTTACCAAAACCATAATCAACTCTCGATTCCATCGGATGGATGTGATATAAGTATATAACTTACCAAAACCATAATCAACTCTCGATTTTATCGGATGGCTGCGATATAAGTAGATTTAAATACGTTTTGTGGTCGATGCGGTTACTGTTACAATAGATAATGTTTATTATTGTAACAACGGTAGTTATGACACTAGTGGCTTTATTTGTATTGCCGATATCTAGGCTAGGAGTGAAATAATCTGAATGAAATTGTCAGCATATTCTTTTTTCATTATCTATGTTTTAACTATTATAGTGATAACTGTCAGCTCTTTATCTAAGCTTACCTAATGCTGCTTTAGATGTTAACTTCTCAATTTGAGAACATTTTACGTGGATTATATTGTGAAAAATGTAAATGACAATTAGAAATATAGAAATGGAATATCACTTGTTAACTGAATTTTCACACTACGAATGTCTTCGGTTTGATATTTTTACTAGAAGTTTAAATTCGAGCATTCTGGAGGAGAGCTAAATCTCCTTATTGTAGGCCTTTCGTTAGACCTGAAATGTCATACAACTTACCGAGGCCATAATCAACTCTCGATTTCATCGGATGGCTGCGATTAAAGTAGATTTAAATACGTTTTGTGGTCGATGAGCTTACTGTAACAATAGATAATGTTTATTATTGTAACAACGGTAGTAATGACAATAGTGGCTTTATTTGTATTGCCGATATCTAGGCTAGGAGTGAAATAATCTGAATGAAATTGTCAGTATATTCTCTTTTCATTATCTATATTTTAACTATTATAGCAGTTTGAGAACATCGTAGCGTTATATTGTGAAAAATGTAAATGACACACACAATGTATGTATGATATAGTGTGGCAAACCTAGTTTCATTTTGTTAGTATTGTTTTATTTATAGTCTGTATAAATAGTTGAGACAAATAACAGCTATAATTAGATTTAAGTCACTGTAGTTATATATTATAGTGAGGGACTATATTTTATAATATGTTAACCTTATGAATACGGATCAAGCTCACCAATTATTTCTACGCCGTCATCCAGTTTGTGTATCTCAATCTCAAGTTTGTCATGGGCAGGAGGTTGCCACATGTTGCTCCAACGAAAATTTAGGGGAAAAAAGCAAGGCCTAAGAGGAGAGAATTAACATGGGGAAATCATTGGTGATCTGTGGTCATATTATTGGTATTATTATCTCCCTTTACTTAACTAGCTAAATTTGAATGTAAAGCATGCGATTATAATTTATATGCATATCCTACGATATTTAACGTAACTAACATGCATTTTTGTATGTCAACTGTTAAATAATGTTGAATTAATATTGTTTACAATGCATACTTTGTTTACTTCAAGTGCATATAGTTTATAATTTTGCATGACCTGGGAATGAAAACTAAAATCCATTGCCATCCTGTCGCTTCAGCCTGGGTCAGTTGTTCCCACTGTGATATCCGTCTCCAGGGCATCCTCGGTTTAATCAGTGGTCTCATTCCGTTTTAATACACTATACCCTGGGTTAATACATAGGGTTTCCACTATTTCAAATTATCTGCTCTAGCCTTGATTATAGCTTCAGTCTACGAACCAACCAAAAAACAGTTTACAAATCAGTCTTACTAATGAAACGGACTTCGTTTCGCGTTCGTTATTTATAAGGGTAGATAAACCTATTCATGTCCATTTACTGAATGATTTATGTAAATAATGTATATATTTCTAATTCAGTATTATTTTATTGTAATATCAAAATCTGTAGTATGTTTCGCTTAATTCAAATATGTATAAAATGTATATGTTTTACTTCTATTATAATTATTACTATTCGTTCCTTATCTGAAATGTTTCTAAACTATTTCCATTGTGTTATTTTTGTTATTATTGAACATATAGTTGGTAATTTAATGTGTGGAGAGTGATGGTGTTTTACCTACGTAAGCTGTGCAGTTCAATCGCTGAAGGTACTCTGGCTGATACTAGAGTGTGAAGGATTGAGTATTGATATTACGAAACCGCCAAATCAAGATATTATTGTCAATACAAATCTTCAACCTACATATGTAAATATCTGTCTCGTCTTCATTTACATATAATATAAATATTGTAATTTGATGTAAATAATTAAATACACATTTAGCATAATTTGAACTTCTATTGTTTTTTGCTTGAGGAGAATTAGGCTACCTGCTGGCTAATTTTTAACCTTGTCTCTTGAAAGGAAGCCTTTGCGTTTTGCTTTTTTGACCCGATGAGAGTTACTTCCCTTCGCCAACTTCCTTTGTAATTAACGATGTATGTGGTTGGTCGATAAAAATAGCACAATTATCAACAGCAGATAACTTGAATACGTGCGACTTCCCCCCTCCCCCGCCCCGTTGGATTAACCAAGGGGTTAGTGGGGTAGAACGGAATGAGACCACTGAGGATACCGAGGATGATAACTGGGGTGGTTTGAGTAGAATCGTTTCTAATTAAACACAATGCATCTGTTTGGGTAGTTGTACTTGACTGGGTTTTAGTATGCTGGGTAGTTGTACTTGACTGGGTTTTAGTATGTTGGGTAGTTGTACTTGATTGGCTTTTAGTATGTTGGGTAGTTGTACTTGACTGGGTTTTAGTATGTAAGGTGGTTGTGCTTAACTGGGTATTGTTCACTCGGTTGTGCACTTGACTGGGTTCTTTAACCCTTTTATATTTTGGGTTCTGAAATCATTTATTTACGAAATTGATCCCTGTTATCACTAATAGTGTTACAGACGCATCCAGTTTTTCTCAAAATGATGCCTTTGTCAGCTAAATACGGATGGTTTTATTACCGTACGGAATTACAGAGGTTCGTTGTTACAAACCAATTCGTGATATCTTAAAGATACATTATAGGAGATTAGATACAAAGCTGGTAGTTCTCACTATAATAGTTAAAAACTAGATAATGTAAAGAGAATTTGCTGAAAATTTCAGTCAAATTGATCAACTCTGAACCGAGATTGTAGCGATTGAATTTTCAGTCTAGCCTCGACCATCATTACTAATGTGGTACGATAAAAACATAGTCTCAATTATTCATGATTATATCATGAATGGAAGTCGAAGAGCAAATCGGAACCTAATCCAAAAAACATCACAGGCTAGCGACGACATCGACAGTAAGTGATTATGGTCTGAATAAGTTAATTAATGTCTTAATTTATAATTCAGATAAAATTTCAGACCTAAAGAAAGATCTTTAATAGGCAGATTTAGATCTTGCATAATATATGTTGAACAAAGATATGCACTAACATAATGAATGAGAAAAGATTAAAGATACATTATGTAAGATTTAGATAAAGAGCTGACAGTTTTCGCTATAATAGTTTCAAAACAGATGAAATGAATATATTAAAAATTGCAGTCAAACCAATTAATTATGACTGTTTGAGGAATAGCGTTCTCTCGATTTTCCTGCCAAGGCCGGCCGTTTAGTCGTTTGGAATGGACAGAAGAACGAGGTGCACATTGCCGTGAACGTAAAAGATCCATTGAAGTTGGAATCCGATATAAGAGTAGGCCGTACACTTTGTAATTTAGGCGGGCGAAACCTGAATTGCCAAAAAGAATCGGGCGTTTTCTCGGGGCGAATCGTGATAGTGGGAATCTAACATTATTACGGCTGTATTTACATCTTCTTTGTAACGCCTCACTGGTTTGCACGAATACTCAAGCCTTTTATGTTCCTTGACGCCGTCACATGTGTAAAATAAAATAGATGTTTGAGTAACGTCCTTGTTGAATAAGTATGCCATTGATAATATATACTCAGCCAAATTAAAAACTTGACACTGATGAATTCCAACAAATTTATTTTTCTGGTAAGTCAAATAAATTTTAAAGTGTTTCTAACAATATTAAGTAGTAAGAAGCCTTTAATTTCATAAAATTGTAAAGTCACGTGGATCACGTGACTTTTGAGCATATAAAGATGAAAAACCTGAAAAACACGTGCAAACACAAACTCGTGAGGTCAATCGATGCAAGTTTGCTTAAACTGAACACGCACACGTAACTTGAACTGGAGAAACAAATTAAAATTGTTATTTTCATCTTTGTTAGAAAATGCCGCGCCTTTCAAATGTAGAACGTCTACGTGCTATAAGTAGCTGTGGTCACTGTTGCAAGAGCCTTTAATTGTTCACGCCAGACAATAATTAATCTTAGAATTAGAGTGCTTCAAACTGGAACTATTGCCGACCGCCTCATGAAGATCAAGCAATACGATTACGTCATCTTAGAAACAGATTTGTCACTGCAACCTCCACAAGTAGTGAGATGTTTGGTGGAAGGGTAACTGCACAAACTGTTCGAAATCGCTTGCAGGCTGCTGGTCTTCGAGCTCGAAGGCCCTATAATGGACCAATATTGACACCTCTTCATCGCCGTAACCGACTTGTGTGGGCCACAAGACACATAAGATTTACTCAAAGACAGTGGAATTCGGTTGTGTTTAGTGACGAATCTCGATTCACTTTGAGATTTGCCGATGGCAGGGCCCGTGTGTACCGCAGACGAGGTGAACGTTACGCTAAAGTATGCGTCAGAGAAGTTGACCGATTTGGTGGCGGCAGCGTCATGGTTTGGGGTTCTTTTTGTGCACATGGACGTTCTCCTCTTGTTGTTGTCCAAGGGAACGTAAATGCTGTCCAGTACAGGGATCAGATTTTACAACCTGTTCTTCTTCCGTTTATGCAGAGACATGGACCTGGACTAACGTTTCAACAAGACAATGCTCGACCCCATACAACAATTGCTACCCAGAATATTTTATGAAATGCCGGTGTCCAAGTCCTGGATTGGCCGTCGCTTAGCCCCGACCTTAATCCTATTGAACACATCTGGGACGAACTTGGTCGACGTGTTCGTCAGCAAGTGAATCCACCACTGACGTTGCAGGACCTTCAACATGCTCTTGCTGAGCAGTGGCGACGTCTTCCTCGGGTAGTGTTTACTAATGTTCTGGGATCCATGAGAAGACGTTGTGTGGCAGTACGAGACGCTAGAGGAGGCCACAACCGTTACTAAACACTTTATTCCTATTGTTTCCCAAGTCTGTGAATTTCATTTTGGGGGGTACTGTGACATCACGAACGTTATCAATGTCAAGGACTTTCGGCGAGACCTGTTCTTGCTTTCTGTTGATGTCAAGGTCGTCTGTGCACAACATAACACTAAAATAGTTGCCTTAAACCAAATATTAAAAATCTAGTCCCAAAAATCCCGAGTGTCAAGTTTTTAATTTGGCTGAGTATATAATACTATTCAAAAAAAGTAGGGGGTATTTGATTTTTAAGTGTTATTAAAGTCACCTAATGAAACTGACGAAGAAAGAAATGACAAAATGAAATGAAGTTCACATTCATCGATTTATTCCAAATGATCGTTAGACTAAGTAAGGCACAGACTGACCATTATAAGGGTAAAATGATACCCGGGGTCAAACAGCAAAGTTACCACAGCATCACAACCAAGTCAGTAACGGGTAAATCCTCCTCTGTTTGCCAAACAAGCATTGATCCGACGTGGCATACTCCTAATGAGACGTCTAAGGTCATTTTGGTCCAGATTGTCCCATTCCTGTTGCAACGCAGCAGCAAGTTCTTGGACATTGGCAGGACGTTGTTGACGTTGACGTAACCTCTGTCCAAGCATGTCCCAGACATGCTCGATGGGGGAGAGGTCGGGACTCAGTGCGGGCCAAGGTAATGTGGTGATGTTCTGTTGTTGGAGGTAACCTGTAACGATCCTGGCCCTGTGACATCTTGCGTTGTCATCCTGGAAGATGAAACGGCGGCCATGACGTCGTGCGAACGGCACAACATGGACTGCCAAGATGTTGTCCCGGTAGTACTGGCCTGTAACACGCCCTGCAACAACATGTAAAGCCGTCCTTCCAGCAACAGTGATGCCTCCGCACACCATAACAGAACCACCCCCAAATCGATCATGTCTGATGACGTTAACGTCTTGGAAGCGCTCGTTTCGACGACGCCACACCCTCCTACGTCTGTCCAAAAAATCAACAGTGAACCTTGACTCATCTGAAAACATCACATTGCTCCAGCGTCGATTATCCCAGTGTTGACGATCCCTACACCAACGACGTCTTGCCTGAATGTGATGATCTCTCAAACAAGGGATCACGCGAGGACGTCGGGCGCGAAGGTGACCCCTATGCAGTCGATTCCGAATCGTCTGGCCACTCACTCTCACACCAGTGTCTGTTTGAAGACGAGCGCTGATCTGATTTGCTGTGATGATACGATTTCTCAAGGCCAAGGTACGGATAAATCGATCCTGGGCTTGAGTTGTCGCCCTTGGTCGACCTGAGCGTGGTCTGTCCTGTACAGATTGTGTATCACGGTATCTGGACCATAGCCTGCTTATGACAGACTGAGAAACATTCATCGTCCGCGCCACAACCGCCTGTGTTGTGCCGATCTGTAGCATGCCAAGGGCACGTAACCTTTCATTTTGGGTAAGCCGACGCATATCAAAATTTGTTTTCTGGTCACTAAAACAATTAAACTGATGTTACCACCCTGGAATTCAATGCCACAATGACTGTAACATTCAAAGTCAGAGTCGTGCAAAACTTGGGTTGGACCCCCATGATGATCCCAAGCATCACCTGCATTCCATGCGGTAGCTATTGGTGCGTTTGGGCGTCACATGTAACTGGAAATGTTTCTTCTGTTAGGTTCTATAGTGACTTTTTTCGTAGTCATTTGCATATTTTAGTATTATGCCCCCAAAATCAAATATCCCCTACTTTTTTTGAATAGTATATATAAAGAAGAGGGTTTGTGAAATTGTATACGTATAACATCAACGATAAATATATGGTTGTTGTAAATTCATTATTTCTATTGGATCATGACATGACTTTTAAATTTTTTAATAACCAGAAGCCTTTTATGATGTATGTTTCACCGGTGTCCACTTACCAAGATATATCTAGAAATATCAGATAAATGTTTACATAAAATGGTACCGTGATGCATTGGCGTACGAGCCCAATGAATTCTTGAATATTTAACTGCCGCAAACACATCTTTCTGCTATTCTAGCCCGTGAATACAGCAACTTCAATGTGGTTTCAATAGCCT